TAACACAGAAGATGCAACTCAACAATTTCCAGCAATTGGAAAGAACAGCCTTATGGAAAATGGATTCAAGTTGTATGATATGTCATACATTTACAAAATCTGAGTCCTTGCTAATACAACCAACTAAAGCTAGCTAATACAGCCAATTAAAAATTTTTTTTTCCTTTTTTTTTCATAAATTTGATTTATTTTTATCCAATTATATTTTTTACTTCTTTTAAAATGTGACTTTATTCAATATGTCAAAAAAATGATGAGACATGCTAGAGCGTCAGTGGCACACGGATGATAAACTTGAACGTGATGTGTTAATAAATTAAATGTGATGTGCAACTAACGCTCTAGAGCGTAAGAAAAAATTTTGGTACTTTTCCGTTTTGCCAGCGCAAGCGATAAAGTCGCCAATAATGGTACAACCGATGCCAAACTGAATATTCTCACTGGTAACCTTTTACGCCTCATTTTCAAAACAAGTCGCAGCTTTTTCTTATCAGATTGATTGTTTCTTTCGATGCTGGCATATCATTACATAGAATTTTTATCAGATAGTTCAGTTTTATGTCTAAGGCCATTTTTGGTAATTAAGTCAATTGGGATGCAATCACAACGCTTACCCGAAGCCGAAAATATAGAAAAGGAAAGTCAAGGGTTGTTTCTTTCAATGCTGGCATATTATTAATAGATTTTGATCAGATAGTTCGTTTTATGTCTAAGGCCATTTTGGTAATTAAGTCGGGATGCATTACCCAAAGCCGAAAAATAGAAAAGGAAAGTCAAGGGCTAATTCTAATGAGAATGCATTAGTGAAGTTAAGCACTGCAGTTTTACATAATTCTGAGTAAGCTATTCTTACGCATTGAAATATTTCTTGCATTTAAACTTGTGTTCCAAATTAAGATTTAACTTAAAATTAATGTAGAGAATTACTGAGAGAATTAGATTTCTGGAGTGTAGTTTACGTGAGGTGAGATCACTTGAGTGTCGCGTGATATGAACCAGCGAATCAGAATGTTGTACCATGAAACCATAGTAAATTCTTAAATTAATGTCTTTTACAAATTTATTGTCTTTATTTATTGGCTTTTTATAAAGTTTTAAACGATATTAAAATGTTTATGCCTTCAAAAAGAGAATTCATAGAACTAAAATTTTTTTGATATTTTTTATGTGTATACTGTTTGTTGTCGCCAATAAAGTCTGCTTGGCGAGATTTGCGCCGGCGAAACGGAAAAGTACCAAAATTTTTACTCTAAACATGAAAATAAAAGGTTTTTCCAGTTTTCCTATTAAAATATAAGGAACGTTTTTAATCATTAAAACACTTTTTGTAATTCGGCTTCTGATGACGGATATATCAATTTTACTGGCAGTGAATGTGTTAATGGGATGCCAGTCCCCAAATTTGGTAGCATACTTACATTGCATTGTGAACAGCTGTGCATTGTTTGGTGCAATTCACTGATTTTTTTAAAATTCAAGTGTCAGCTCTCCTTATACATAGAATCCCTTTACACTTAAATAACAGAGAATTGCAGAAGCATTCCACAAATTAATTATTACATATACTATTAGGTTATATGACACTCTCCTGTTATAAGTTTCCCCCCACCACCACTAAGACCCTTTATGTTTCATTAGGGTTGCCACCTAGTTAAATTCTGTTATGTTAATGTTGGAACTAAGTGGCACCCCATTAAAAGAAAAGTATCAAATAATTAGTCTTGGATTATCATGTAGTATGCATGCTATCACTTTTATATATGTATCATTTCTTTTTGGTTTCCTTTTATTGCATGTTCAAATATGAAAGCAACTTTTTTTTTTTTTTTTTTTTTTTTTTTTTTTAAATTTTATGAAGCTATTGTTATTGACTTATAAAAATGTTGAAATTTAAATTGGCTAAAGTGAAGAATAGAGGCATGTCAAATTTGGCAATTTTCATAATAATGGTTTTATAATAATAACCCTTCTTATTCACTGTTTTGAAATAATTTTATTTGGGCAACATTATTTTTATTTATTTATTTTGATTGCTGCAATTAATGAGACTGTGGATATTTCTTTCTTGGTCATATAATATATACATATATATATTATGTTAAATATTATATTGTTGTGTTTTTTTTTTTTTTTTTTTCCCTTCATGTTCATGCACGGTTCGTGTGGATTTGGAGTGAATAATGACGACACTTGATGAAGTATCGAAACCAGTATTTACCAGTATTAATCAGGACACCAGTATTTACCAATATTAATCTGGGCAGCTCTCCAAACACCTTTTACAGTCGTCGAAGATCTACTATAAACACGCTGGAACAATCAGCAACACGGACTTCAGGTTATCAGGCTAACGGTGGAGACAGCTTCACTGCAAAGCACCAGAGTACAGCTCCCGACTCTGCTTGGTCATTCTCGGAACTCCACATACTCTGGAGACCCTCCACGCTACAACTTGCGATGCACTCGACGACACACAGAGCACAGCTCCCGACTCTTCGGTTCAGTCCTTCCCGGAGCTTAACACACTCTCTTGACGGTGTACTAACCGCAATACACTAAGAGACTCTTTGATGCACTCGACAACTCACTCGGCAGTCGCTGCCCAGCTGTCAACTCGATCGACTCCGCACGGACTGACTAAACTATCTTGCACTCTACGCGAGGCACTCACTTAATACTATCTCTCTGCTTACCAGCAGGGTTTATATAGCTTTTGCTTTGTGTTCGAGAACATTCTGGGCTAAACCGGTAAGAATTCATTCCAGAAGGTTCTCCATCCGTCCACGGCATATCGCCAATTTTGTCGCCCAATGGGTGATTTCTCGCCAAATGTGACAAGCCTGCCTTCCTTGCTATTTTATGGCAACCCTAAAACTGCTTTGCGGGGAAGCCATCTTACCGCGTCTGTACATTTCGTAACAATATATATATAATATTTAACATGTGCAAGGCCGATACTATGCATAATGCCAGGTTTGTGCAATTTTCTGGTGTATTTTAAATGAAAATAGATTGCTGTATGCCTGAAGAGAAAACAAAAATGCATATAAAATTATACATGTAATGTTTAATGTGCACAATGCAAAAACTAGGCATGATGCTGAATTTGTACAATTTCCTAATAATTTTAAGTGAAACTGATTGCCGTGTAAATGGGAAGAATAACAGCAATGTTTTATATATTATGCATAACATTTAATATATCACTGTATTTTTAATTTGCATTTTTGTATAAATTGTATTTTAATCATCATTTTTTATATTTTTATTTATGTATTTTTAAATGTTGATGATATTTGTGAAGTCATGATAAATACCGATGCTTTTGTCAATCTTTATAAAAATTAAAAATTTTTTGGGTTATTACATTATTGAAATCATTTCATTTAGATTTTCATACTTATTTTCATATTTAAAAATAGCACCTCACTGTTGTCATCCATTTAAATAACTCATTAAAAGCAATAGATCATATAATACAGTCAAAAGTCGTTAATTCGGACACCCATAATCCGGAATGATCTACAATCCGGACCTCAAAGCTACAAACTTTCTGCGCATGCGCGTAAGACCTTTACGGCTGCGAATACGCATGTGCGCGTGCGCAAAATACGTTTACGAATGCGTGTTTAATGTATAACGAACGGTATAAGCTAAGCTAAAATTATCTAATTCAGTTAATGTTGCAGACTGCGTTGTTCCTTAATCTTCGAATTGGATTCGGCTTATTATTTTTTGCAGACTGTTAGAGCAATTTTATAAAAGTAAGCTTGAACTTTTGATTATGTCAAATAGAATTTCTGATATATATTTACTAATAGAAAGGATCTACAAAGCGAAAGTATGTTTCGAAGTCCATTAAACAAAAAGTGGAATTGCTGCAAAAAATAGATAAAGGCATATCCTTTGTTTATCTAAACTTTAACGTTTCTTTATCTAAACTTTGTTTATCTTTAACGCCGCAGCGGGCGCGCAATGAATTGGAATTTGATCTGTCAGCACTATCCTTATCTTCAGGGCAGATGTTTTTATTTTATTTGGCTTATAATTCCTTACTAAATGTAGTATTTCATCTCGATGTACTCCGTCTTTGATATGATTTAAATCAAATTCCTCATCATTATAATTCACTTCCGATAGCGAAGAAAGTGATAAAGGTTATTGAAAACGAAAAAAATTTCGATTGACAAAATAGTAGGTATCTCGACACAGCAATTATAGGACTTGAACAGCGGAACTTTGTAAAACTGAACAAGAATGTCTGTTTGTAGAATTAAAGAGAATGTATTATCACATAAAACACGAAGCAACTTAAACAACTTACATTGAAAAGAAATGTTTAATAAAGTAAACAAATAAATACTAAGCCTTTTTTTTTTTTTTTTTTTTTTTTTTTTTTTTTTTTTTTTTTTTTTTTTTTTTTTTTTTTTTTTTTTTTTTTTGTTTTTTTTTTGTAAATTTTGATACCCTTTAGATCATAACTGTTCTTTATTTCATAAATTACGGTTTCATATTTTTAATTTTATAATTTTTGCATGCCATCTTACCAGATTTAAACTAATGATCTATAATCTGAAAAAATCGATAATCCGGAATCGCCAAAGTCCCGAAGAGTCCGGATTAACGACTTTTGACTGTACTACCTATCGCTATCATATAATACATGATATTAAGTGGTAGATAATATAATACATGAATACCTCATCTCCCCTCTATCTATTAATTCAAATGATGTACTTATATTGCTCTCCAAATTACTACATTTTGAATGTGAAGCATTTATCCATAACATGTAATCACCAATTCTGCAATAATTGGTATTAATTTTATTATATGTAATAAATATAGCTGTAAATTTCCTCTTATAAGCTTTAAAAATATTTTGCATCCTCTACTAATAATTTAAAATTGGATTAACACTGTGTAAGACAGTAAGAATAAATACTTAAAAGTTATAATAATAATAAAAAGTTATGATAATAAAAGAATAAATACTTTACCTTCATTTTTCATTCCATCCATATTCACGTTAAATACATTTTCAGATACTTCATGAAACTAATAGCATAAAAAGATAATTTTAACAAGAATCTGACAATATAAATACCTTTTCAAACTATGTAAAAATTGGTATTTCACTTCAAAAAAAAATTTTTTTGCCAAATTTCATATAGCAAATAAATGTTTTTACAACGAGTCTGAATTTTACAATCAAACATATTAATTCAAGAAAATTTTTGTTTATTCAGCTTAAATTTGTAAGTCTGAAATTACATGATGTCATTTAAAAAGGAAAAACAAAGTAGCCTTGTCAAAACAAACAAAAAAAAAAAAGTAATAATGATAACATATGTCTCATTATAATCTACAGACACAATATACAATGATTCTTTTTGTTAAAAATATTTGAAAAAAAATTATGCTTATGTTCTTGGTGGTTTAATTTAGCAAAAAATTACTCATTTCAAATCTCCAATATATGTAAGTGCTAAAACTAAGTCAATTATCAAATGGGACCTTTGACAACTTACTATTTGGTGATGTCAAACATTGGTAATACAGACTGAAACATTGAAAATCATGATGAAAAACAAACAGATTTTAGGAAGTCACAGGTTTGCCACATCAAGATAATTCAATTAAAATATTGATAAAAATAAAATTTTACAAACAGATATGAATTGTCTCAAATAAAAAATAGAGTTAATTAAATTGGAGGCCTTAGAAAGTAGGGTACAACTCTAATATACGTCCTAATTTCACCAAATGTGGCGATATGTGTTCTGCGCTGGTTTTTTGGTGTGATTGCGTGTTCTATGGCAACCCTGTTGACATTGAAAAATCTTTCGCTGGAGCTCGTTGATTCGCCTCTGTGTCTGAGAAGATGGGAGGGAAAGATAAAATGGTAGTTGTTGAATTGAAATTTGGCAAAAGGAAATATCATTGTGGCTATCCTGTTGAGGGGTAGGGCAGTTGGTATCTGGAAGTGTGGAAAGAGGGTCTTATGAAATTAATTTTTAATGGCTGTGCATGATAGAAGTAGGGATTTGTGATTTTATTTATTTGTGAACCATAGTATAAATTTTCTGGATAGTGTGTCTGGCTGTCGTGTAAATACGATAGTGATTACGTGGCGGCATGTTAAAGGCGGTGTGAAATTTAGATTTCTGCTATTCGAAAACGCATTAATTCATGGTAAGTGCATTTTATTTTATCCTTGTTCTTATTTTGTAGAATGTTATGCTCATTGGTTCTTTAGTATGAATTTCTGTCGTTATTGTTGTTTTTTTTAAATTGTTTGAAATTTATTTTAGTTTATTTTGTTGTTTAGTGTCTAGACTGTACAATTCGTAGATGTTTTTTAAGTTGAAACAGAACGCTGTGTACATGGTATTATTTGAAATTTATTGTTGTTATGTTATTTTATTAAAGCGAGGAGTGCGTTGATCGTAGATTCCTTCCTTGCGTAAATTGTGCAATTTGTAGAATTTTTTTTAAGTTAAAACAGAACGCTGTGTACATGGTATTCTTTGAAATTTATTGTTGTTATGTTAATTTATTAAAGTGAGTGTGTGTAGTTTGTTATCGTTCGTTGCCTACATTGTGCCATTCGTAGATGTTTTTTTAAGTTAAAAACATGTCGCTGTGTACATGGATTCTGTCAAATATTTTTGGTTAGAAACTTTACGTTTTTGCTATCTAATTTTTTTTTTTTTTGTTTCAGGATTTTTAGCTAAATTGTGTGTTCAAAACGTAGTTTTTGCATGTGTGAAAACCGCGTTTTTGGAGACATTTTAGGCTAAAAGTTCGAAATGTAGACAAAAAATTTAGATAGTAATATGGCAGCGTGAAGTTTCTCGCCGAATATTTTTGGCGAGAAATTTGGCGACTTGAGGGCGCATATCAGAGTAGTTCCGAAAGTAGTTTTTAAAAAGATGGAATGCTTTTAGAAGAGAAATATACTCATCCTATTAGAAATCTTAAAAAATCATCACTTGCTGTAGAAGAGTATAAAGAACCATAGCTTTCCTTGGAAGTTGAAAAATGTAAACTTAATGAATTAGAAAAAGAAGAATTGAAGGGGTAACATATTATGCTACAAACTTAACAGATAATATTAGCCCTGGAATAAGAAAACAGTAAAATTAGTGAATTGGTAAATGATATTGCTAATACAAAATCTCAAATTGCAGAACCACAGTTATAACTTCAAACAATTAATGAGTCACTCAAGAAACAAAAAGACCAAACTGAAATTCTGCGGGGGGGGAGTCAGTGAGAAGCTGCAAGATTTTCAAAAACATAAAACAATTTTGAAATTCCTAATTTTGTTTTATAAAACTATCTCTTCCCAAACTATCGCTTTTATAAAACTATCCCTTTGAAGAAAAATAAATTTCAGTTTTCAGTTCCATACACTGCAATAAAAATTCAGCGATAAAAAATAGTGTACATATTCATTAGACATCCTTTAGCTAAAATTACACTTTTTATGCACTTTGGCATGACATTCTAATTTTTTTCAAGTAAGAATATTCCATTTTTACCCTACTGCTCTGTCAAAATTGATTTTAACAGACATTTTGAAGAAATGTTATGTTTACTTCTTCTTTTCTCCAACTCATTCTACATACGTTTGATACGATCTAAATTCAAAGAATATGGTGAAGTTTTGATAACTTCAAAACAGTTATATAATACTACAAACGAAATAATATTTAGAGTTGCATGCTTGTGTTCATTATCCTTACAGAACTTGAATGCATTTTTAATTCGAAGATTTCTTGCCAAATGTTTTCAGGTTTTCATTAAGAATTTTTATATATGTTTATTAATCTATATTGTCCATAAAAAGTAAATTTCCCATCCCAGAGGCAGCAAAACATACCTAAACCATTACGCTTCCACATTCATACTTAACAGTCAGTAATAGGTTTTTTTGGATTGAATTCTTAATTTGGCTTACAACTTGCAACATTCATCCATCAGATACAAATATATTTAATTTTGATTCATCTGCAAATGTAACATTATTTCAATATCATGTGTTTATCATGGACTTAGTCAATGCCAGACACATTTTCATTGTTTTCTTGTTAACAGAGAATTTCCCTGCTCATTGCTAAATGTGTCCATGTGCCCTAAAGACTCATTTGGCAATCAGCAGAGAAAATGACAGAGCAGTAGGGTAAAAAATTTCAAGGTTAGCTTTTATGGCTAACCTTGAAATTCTTCTAGCTTTTATGGCTTCTAGCTTTGATGGCTACTTCAATGTTAGCTTTTATGGCTAACCATTCTTCTAGATCCATGACAAGTTCTACAGTACTCAATTTTTTCAGTGTCGTTACATTTTTCAGAAGACAAATCTTCAATGCATTCATATTAGCTTGAAACAGGACCAGACGCTTCAGTGTATTTTGAATAGTTCCATGTAATTTCTGTAGTTTTAATATATAAAAGATAGTTGATCTCTTTACATCACAGATTAATTTGGAATACTTTTATTCTCTTTAAAATCTTGAATAGTACTGGTTATTAATTTGAAGCACCTGTCCATGTTCACTTCAGAAATGAAAGGTTAATAAATTGTATAAACAGTAATGATTTCTAAATGCAGATGATAATTCTTGTGATATACTTATATAATTTTATTTAAAACAAAAAAAATTATGACAAGAAATAATATCTTCCAAAACATCTCTACAAAATTTACAAGGGTCCGAATTTTATCATGAGTTACTGATTAACCCAGGGGAAAGTGCGTGGAGTGTATCATACCCCAAATCTACAAAAAAGTGGAATATTCTTAACTTGTGAAACTGAAATTCTGTGCTGCATTCAGTAGCTGAGTTTCTAGGAGTGGTTGACTTTTGAGAACCACTTTTCCATTTCCTATGTGTTCCTATGTTTTCAGAAAAACATTTATCGGTATTTTATTGCAACAGGGGTATGACACACCCCATGTGCCTGTCCGCATAACTGTATTTCTGGCTGAATATTTATTTGAGAAATTTATTTCTAGAGTGTAACAGTAAATATTTCCGTTACACTCTAAAAAATCGTTTGCGAATATTTCTACTCGCAAACGATTTTAAAGTATTTGAAATTAAATTTTTAAGGATTTCTAAGCGCATTATGGCAAAAAGAATGACTCTTTATGTATTGGAAATGCAACGGATGTGACATTTAGTAGAAATATTTGAAAGTGATGAAGATTGAATTTCGAAAACTGAAGATGAAAATGGGAACATTTTCTACACTATTTTGATTCGTAAAAGTTAAAACATTAATTTCTTATGTTCCTAAAAAGGAAAAACTGTTCTTATGCTTTTAATATTACATAACGATGATGCTATAGATGATACTATTGGAGAAAAGACAATGCCAGAAATTATATGTTTTTATAATATGACTGAGCAGTGGATATTGTGGATGAAATGGCAGCAAGTTATTCATTTAAAATAACAAGGAGGTGGCCAATGGTAATTTTCTTTACTGCACTGAATGTTGCAGCAATAAATGCTCAAATTATGTTACTTTCAACTCCTAATCCACCAACTACACACAGAAGCAAATACATGTTTCTGAGGAACTTAGCATTACAATTAATAAAAAGTATACTGAACAATGATCAGAGATTAATACTTTACTGAGTAACTTGCGTACTGCATGCAAAAGCAAAAGTTTCAAGGAATAATTCAAACAAATATATGAAATTTGAAGCCCTCGAGCCTAGGATACAAGAACGCAAATGTTATATTCAAAATGTGAAAAGCTTTCTGAGCTACGAACACATGGATGTATTGGAAATTAATTTTTTATAGCCAAAGTATTATTCACGTATTATAAAAGAAAACCTGCTTTAAAACTAAATAAAATTGTTTTTACCATATTTTAAATATTGGGGTATGTGATACCCCATGCGTTTACTCTAGTAACTTTTCCTGACACTTTTGACGCCGGGTTAACACTTTTGGAATAAATTATTTTATCGGAAAGAATAGTTTGATGATATTTATTTTATAACAAGCAGTCTTAAAATAGAGAAAAATAATATATTACCAAAAAATTTGGATTATATGTTTCAATATATAGTACAAGATCTATGCAAAAATATTTCAAAAATGCAAGTGTCCGAAAACAAATGCGAGGCATTGTATATAAAAATTATTTGCAAAACAGAAAATTACGCCACCTCAATGAAGCTCCAGAATCAAACTATAATTTTCCATACACTGCAATATTCACTTACTGGAATAAATTAATTAAAACATTCTTAATTATTTAGTTAAACGTTTAGTACCTTTAATTACACGACAGAATTAATAATAACATTCGGTTCCAACATATCCCATTTCGAAACTCGTTCCAAACATTTTGTTTAAGTCTGTTGCCAAATTTCTTTCCACTAAAAACTAAAAAAAAAAAAAAAAAAAAAATGGGAAAATCAAAAATCAGGCTTTTTTTTTTTTTTTTTTTTTCTTTTTTTTTTTTTTAAACTTGCGGCTGCATCGAGTTTCATAACAGGTAATAAAAAAGAGAATTCATTTAAAATTTAAAGATGTTTTATTTTTTCCTTCATTCATTTTGGATGTCTACTTCCTGTTATGGGTTTCATTGTATTGCGGAAAAAAGTCATTTTTAATTTAGTTGTAGATTAATTGGAGTTAAAATAGCATGCAAAATAATGATTACAAGAAGAGTTGCGGCAATAAGAATCAGCATAACATTCACAAATTTACAGGACTGAATCCGGAGGTTTAAATATAGAAACTACACCTTCAGCTGCAGTACTACATCTTCAGCTGCATCTTCAGCTAAAGTGCGATGCCTACGTGATATGCATTATTTTAGCATGTCGTTATTTTAATGTCATTTTTTTTCATTGATTGTACTATTTATTTTAATAACACTACATTTTCCCTGAATTTTAAAGAAGATGGAATGGAACCTCCCCACCTCTTGCACCAAAGACATACACTTTATCTCGACGCCGCACTTTTTCCCTTTGAATCCTGTTATTATCCAAGCTTGTTAATGCCAAATGCCTTCACGGGTTCGCGCTTCCGCCAAGACAAGCATACAATCTTCAGGACAAATTCGCATCTAGCTAACAATATCCTACCTATTTCAACCAATCAGCGTGCTTGTTTCTTGCCAAGGAAAGTACTTCGAATTCATTTTGACGACTGCAATTACGAAAAGGCAATTTTTGCGGCTCTGGTACGAACGACCTTCAGACTCTTGGAAAATGCTTGAATTTTGGTGGAAGTATTATTTTTTTATCTTTCTCCTCATGGCCAATAAAATACCGCCGGATAAGGACAGGCCCTCATGGTATACCCCAACTACTGAATTCATGGATAGTGATTGTGATTTAGATTATTCTACAAATTCGGCCTCGCGAACACATTAGGAATATAATAATCGAGATGTCTGCAGCTTTCATAGTCTGATGCACTACGAACAGTATGCAGCTGGCCAGCTCAAAAGCAGATCATTCTGGGTCCCCCCTGGGACTTTGGAACCTTATAGAAATATATTTCCCCATTTAGTAACAGGGCTCGAACAACAAAGAAATACTATAAATACTACTTCCAATATAATTACTGAATCTATAAATTAAATTATGCCCGGAAAAGCAAACAATTCAGATAGAAATCAATCAAACTCAAAATCGCTCCATATGGAAACTAATGAAGGAAAGTTGCTCATCCTGACCAAAATTTTCAAGCAACCTAAACTAACCTCAGCCAATAGCAAACTCTACACGAAACCAGACCTGAGAAACTCACTCAATACAATCAATAATGGCGAAATTGCAATAGAAGAAGAAAATTCTAGTAATCATAAAATTAAGCCCTTTCCCCATTCTTACAGCGAAAGAAAACATTAACTGGTTAATATATCACAAAACTTTAAATAACATATGTAAAAGCGATTGCGATGTCCAGATGAAGAACAGAGCCATTTTTATTTTCCCCTAAATGACAGAAGATTATAGGGTAATTGTTGATTTCCTAACAGAAAACAAGATAACTTTCCATTTTTGTTAGCACGATAGAGAGAAAAATATTAAAGCAGTCACCAAAGTCCACTTTACGTTATCTCAGAAGATGCAATTTTTCAAAATCTTACAGATAGAAATTTCCTAATTGTTAAAGTCAAACAATTCACTAGGAAAATTCAAGACCCTACTGTCAAGCTAGCAGTTTATTTCGTTGAACTTGCCCCAACTCAGGACAGAAAAACTATCCTACATATAAAGGATTTTTTTTATTTTCATGTGCACATCAAACCATTCCCCAGGAAAAACAAGTGTTCCACCCAATGCTTCAAATACCAGCGGTTCAAACACACGCAATATAAATGTTTTAACGAACAACGAGGTTACAAATGCGGACAGAACCATAGAAGCTCCCCTCTGCAATTTAAAACATGAACCGAAACCAAAATGCATTTCCTGCAATCAGAAACATATTAGATCATACTATGGATGTATGCTGAAACCTCAGTTCCTAAAAGAAAAAGCAACAGTGGAATGCTTCGTAAAAACTTAGTACCCTCGAAAAAGGATGAAAATTCAATATTCAAAATTTATAAAGATCAAATCATTACGTAATTTTTGCGAAAATATATTGCTTATTATTTCACAAATGAAGAATGCGAAATCTCCTTCAGAAAACCTAATCATAGGATTCCAAGCGATGCAGATGATCATCTCCTTTTTGGAAACAGAAGAACAAACTCCCATTTTTGCCCCTTAGAAGTCACAGCCAAGCAGTAGAGACAGACGACCCACTCCGGAACCAATTCACTTCCTTGAACGAATGATTAGCTCTCCGGCGAAAACGGAAAGGCAGTTCTTAAACAGTTCACCGAGAGCTCTTGTTGTGAAGTATGTCGAAAAATTTGATTCCTCTTAATAATACCAGCATGCTTTCCTTTATTAGTAACCGGAAACGTTTTTGGCCTATATTTTATGTGTATGTGTGTTATATATGTATACATGAGTGCTTTTGTTTTGCTTGTGTTCCATCTAGCATTTTGAAACTAAACATTAAATAAACGACACATCTCAGCAAAACTGACCACTCCTGTTTGCAAATCGATGGAATATTTTTTCCGATCTGTCAGTGCAAGGATCTGTTTAAAGTACGCAAATTATTGGAACTAGTTCCTCGGATTTCCAACTAGCGCTCTGTCCCTTCTTCTCTAGTTGCAGATCTGGGTCCTTCGGAGTCTTGATTATTCGTTCTTTTTATGGTTCCTGCTCTAGCCGCAGATCTGATTCCTATTCAGTATTCGCTCTTTTCATCGTTTTCACTCAAGCCGCAACTGGGTACCTGCGGCGTTCTGCTGCTATTTTCGCCTCCTCAGAGCTGTTCCTTTGAGTTTCATTTGGATTTTGCGAACACTGTGTCATATTATAACTATGAATATTAAGTATTACTATTACCTTTTTATGCAGTATTACTGTAACATTTATGTAAATTAATAAATTATATTTTTATTTATTTACATATTTTACTAAAATTTAGTAACTAAAAATATTTTTATACTGTGCTTTGTTGTAGCAACAAAATATCAAATATAGCAAAAAAGTAATGTAATCTTTAACAAAAATAAGTTTACTTTTTAACTTTTAGCACTTTTTTATTCCAGAATTTTATTTTTGTTCTATGTAGAAAGATGTTCAAATGAATCTCAAAAGTACAGTTGAAAGAAATCAGTCCACAAGTTTTCATTTATTTATTTAACTTGCTAACGTATTGTAACCAAGAGCTGTGAATTTCTCTTTAACTTTCTTTAAAATTAGTACGTATTTATAAACATAAATTTTTCCACTTGGTGTATTTTTTCAAGTTTGCAAAATAAAATGTGGAAAATGCCGGTATTGTTAGCAGTCAATTTCCTGTTCTTTAGGATCTGCCTCCAACCTAAAAATTGATTTTTACACTATGCTTGTGGTAGCAACAAAATATCAAATATATTAATAAAATAATGTAATTTTTAACGAAAGCCAGTTTACTTTTCATTATTTTTTAACTTTTAGCATTTTTTTTTTAATTCCAGAATTTCATTTTTGTTTTATGTAGAAAGGTGTCTTTAGGCAATCTCAAAAGCACAGTTGAAAGAAATCAGTCCAGGGAGTGAGCGGTTTGGTTGAGTTGATTCCAGCGTTCCCACTCCTTGTTCAATTCCTTCTGCTTTTCTCCAAATTTAACCGTCTAAAACGCTTCACTATCTTCAGCCATTGTGGCTAACATTCAAGAAGCCGGCAGAATCGCTCGATTGGAGGATAGCAAAGGGTGCGGACGTATTTTGGAGCTGTTAGTAAATTTTTCATTTCTTAATGTTCTTATTCGGAAGTTTAGAAAGTTCGGAGATTTTTACTTAATTTTTTATTTATTTTTTTTACATTGATGAGCATTATTGTACTCCATTAGTTGTCGATAAAGATAATCTTTTGTTTTTGTCTTTGTTTCTTTCAAGAATTTAAAATACTATTTTTATGTATTATCTAAAATCCTATGGTCAAGGTAGGATGTTTTCCTTCCTTCTACTTTATTTACAGTATTAGCTTTTATTGCTAATTATTTATGATCTCAATGCATTTTTTAACTTTTCGTGTACATGCAGTTCCTTTTTCCCATAACGTCCGTACTCAACGTTATTGACGCTTTGTTTGCATTCCTCTCCTCTTCATTCCCACCGTGAGGGCAGTGTTGCCAGATCGTGGAATTTTTCGAAAGTTTGGGACTTTTGACAAAATTTACTAAAATTTTAAAATTTGCGAAATTTTTGCGACATGCATCAATTTTTTATGCTACTTTTTGCGACTTCAAAGGTTTTTTTAATATGTGGTAAAATGCTTTTATGTTAAAATAATGTATCAATTAAAAATAATTTATATTAAAAAACAGTTTATTTAGGCTTAAATAGAAGTTGGCATCTGGCAATCTTGTTTACACGTGGGCTTCTTTTCAAGGCTGCATAGACGCCGATGTAACGAAAAGGGGTAAAAGAAAGGGTGAAGAAAAGTAGAAAGAAAGGGGGGAAAAAAATGCTTCGGTACCTCTCACTCGTCCCTCGTGCATTTTGTTTTTCAGTCAGTCCCCCGCCCCAGTTCTATGGTAATAATGAATCGAACCAAAGAACTTGCAGCTTGCGCGCCATATATTGATACCCAAACAGTAAGGAAATTGAATTCATACTCCTGATTATAATATTTCTCAGAAGTAAGCAATGGAAATCACTTAAAAGCCAAGGCATTTTTATAAATAACAACACAAATGTTACACAAATTCCCCCCAGTTCTACGGTGATAATGAATCCAACCAAAGAACTTGCAGCTTGACCGCCATTTATTGGATACTTAAACAGAGAAA